AAATAAAAGATAGTCGAACCCCAGATCTCTACCCAGTCGAACTTTCGGCCAATAGGAGCAACGAGGCAGTCAAAAAACGACCTTCAAGTTAAATTAAAAAACAAATTAGTTAATTATTGTATTTATAATTATAAACATGACACTGCTTATTATAATATTATAATATAAATAAGAGACATATGTTTTCAGTTGCTATCATATATATCAAGAATAAACAATACCTACACATGTATTTTTCAGTATAAATAGTCGAAATTAGCTGATTTGTCAATTAGTCGCGATAAAACCTTTCGGCTGGTAAGTTCACTTTTTAAATACCATTTTATTATAAAGGAGGTACAAGGTTTTGTTTTAAAGTCGATTCTGAGTCCGAATCAATAAAAAAATTAGTAGGTAAATATTTTTCTGAAATTACGGAAATCCGTAAGTGTGAAGTACACGCCGCCGTCTTATAACTAGCTTTATACCGCGGCTTAACACACAAAAACTCAAACACATAATTGGTATTATTCCTAATTCCATAAAACTCCAATAAGATACATTTCTGTCGCTTATTCTGAAATACTGTCGAACTTAAACGATTTATTATAGCCGTATTGTTAACTATTGGCCCGAAATTTTCTCTTACATTGAACCTTTATGACTTCTGTGACTTGGCCCCGAGAAATGACACGGCTTCAAAACTACACCTTGTATATCTATTTCTGTTAATCACATTATCATCATCATCAACAGCCTATAAGTGCCCACTGCTGAGCAAAGCCTCTTCTTTGTGTAAATGCCTTAACAACAATAGTGTTACCCTGTTCCTTAAAAAGGTGAAACTTCCATACACACAACAATTTCCTTCTATACCCAAACTCGGAATAACAACTTTGCCATTGCACAACTTGTTCAAAGAATCAGTTTTTCGAAACTAATTATAAATTCATGTATTTTCAGACATGTCTGTATTGTATGCGTCGCTGAACACCAAAGGGAGAGTTAAGTTCAAGTTATTCACTCGAAACTAACTTACTACTAAAGTATACCGATCGGTAAGTTTGACTTAACATTCTTGTTTATTTTTAAATGGTTCATATTATGTATTTTATCTTTATAACTATTCCTTTCAATGATGCTTTTGAAAAACCCTCGTGTAGTGTAGGTGACACTTTGCCCTATAAGTAAGTTGTGCTAGTTCGTTAGTAAGACACTTAATACCTAACTTACACAACTCGTAGACCGCATCAGTGTAGGAGAGCCACGCTTCGGCACGAATGGGCCGGCTCGACCGGCGTAATACCACGGCCTCAGAAAAGACCGACGTGAAACAACGTTGTGTTGTGTTTCGTCGTTTAAGCGAGGTTACCGGATGCCGAATTAGCCTCCCTGAATCCCCAACAATCCTTAAATTCCTAATCCCAAAAGGCCGGTAACGCACTTGTAACGTCTCTGGTGTTCCATTATTACGACGCTAATTGCTTACCATCAGGTGATCCGTCTGATCGTTTACCGGTTTATCCCATAAAAAAATCATCGCTTATCACTAGGCGAGATAGTGGTCAAACGTCTGCCAAGCAAATCTAAAAAAAAGTTATTCCTAAGAACAACACGTCTCCCTTATTGCTCCATATTTTATGGCAACCTTGCTAGAATTCGAACTTGGGATCTTCTGATATCTAACTTACACAACTTACTTATAAGGCGCTGTGTCACACACACTACACTTGGTTTTAATATAAAGGATCTGACGATCTTCCAATCGCAATTATGGAAAACGACTTATTTATTTATGTATTTATTACAAGTCGCTGAAGTAAAGAACAAATTTATAGCCATTATTTTTTTTTAAACTCATAATGTAACAAATGCTGTTTTTAAATATTCTGTCTAATTTGATACAAAAATAGTTCTAAAAAGTGTGTAAAAAAGGCAAAAGGTTAAAAAAGAGTGTTTTTCTCTAGTAGCTAGAAATATGGTTAGAATTTGTAATTGCAGCCTTTTCAGGTACATTTATTTCTGTCCACTTTTAAAGTAGAAAACCATTACGTCATACTTCTTATTTTCTGTTCTTATTTATTCTCGAGACTATATAACTTTCTGCATTATAATAAAAGAAGATTTTGATAAATACAGTTTAATTTACAACAAATATTAATATTTCTTATCCCTCAATTACAGATCTTCTGCAAGAAGAAGTAGGAAGAAGAAGAAAGAAGAAGAAGTTCTGCAATCATTGGTCAGTTCAGTGTCAACTGACGGCAAAACGGTGCGAACCTTCGGGTGGGCTGGCGGTCTACTAGAATAGTCTATTAGACCTGTGGTCTTCTGGCGTAGTTTCTTTGACCGATTAGAGTGATCTTTCGGTGTTATCATTGAAATGGACTTGAAAGACCACGTCTCTTACACACGCATCGGTCTTTTAGACCTAAGGTCTTTTACCGTCTACTTGGACTTCACCAGCCGTTAGCACCGTAACCACAAAGATACACGTTTTATGTTCCCTGCTTCTCCAAAAGACTTGGATTTTTTGGTAGAAGAAGGATTTAAGAATTTAAATTAGTTCTAGAAGATTCGAGTCACTTTAAAAGACTGAAGAAGATTTTGGGCTGATTTGATTCTATTCAAAGAGGGTATGAACAAGGTGTATGGTGTAAAAATAAGACTTGATGGATCACTGAGTCGTGGCTAACTGTGTGGTGATTTATTCGACAATCTTTGGTGCAGTAATACGATGATGTAATAGGAATTGAGGATGAACGATGTTTAGAATTATTTTGGTTCGCCAGCTAATACAATGAGGTTATTGTGTAACTGGCGAATAGTGGATGGTAATTAATATTTCAGTTTATGTTTGGTACATTTGAAATAAAAATGTATGCAAATGGATACGGTAAATAATGAAATAAAATAAAAAAGTGAAGAAGACGAAAATAATAAGAACGTAAATAAAAATTTCGAAGCCCTGTTTTGGTCTGCTATTAAAAACTAGACTATTGAGATTTAATGTATTGAAATGTGATGTTTTTATAATATATAATAACGAAATAGCAATATTTTCATATTGAAACTTGTTTCATTTTTGTTGGCGTATATTATTTCCTTGATGCTTTTAAAACTCTTTGAAAAAACTTGACGCTTTTACTTTTATTAACATAAAACAAATAGACAGCCTTAATAATCGACAAGGCCCTCTGTTGCTTAAGCAAAATATTTTGGGTTCAAATCCAAAGTCGAAGAATGTCGTGATATAGCTTGAATAGACCAAAACAGCCCCTAACACAGCTCTTTAAATAATCATAAGTTCAGTATTGAAATTAATACAGGTTTCAATTCAGAAATTAATTTCGGTTCTGATGATGTCATTGAGGCCTCTTACGACATCTTCAGAACCAGGTAACTGTTGCATATAAAGAGTTAGTTTCAGTATTAGTGCACTTAAACCCTTTATTTAGCAGTACACTTCTTTTAAATGATGATGATAGGTTTAAAAGTATTGCATACAACACCCAGTCTTATTATTTTATGCGATAGGGATTAAACGAGCAAATAGATTCATCGCCGGATGATCAAATCCCCAGTCCTTAAATCCCTAACCCTCAAAAGGGTGACAAGACACTTAGAACACCTCTGGTGTTTCAAGTGCTTATGGGGAGCGCAGATTACTTACCATCAGGTTGTTTATTTGCCCGTTTTGCGGCCTATCTATTAAAAAAAAGTCGACATTTGCAATACAAGAGAAGCTGCATTGGGTGCATTAACATTTTAACTCGAAAAAGAAATAGCCTGGAAATAATCTAGTACTCTGTAGGGTAAAATTACAGACCAATCGGCCATCCGACGTGTTGTTTTCCAATGAAATTTATTTTATAGAATCGTACTATGAATAACATTTCATTTTAACTTAAAGGTATAAGAAAGACAAGAAAAAGAAGTGTACAAGAAAAGAGCGTATTTCTGGCTGGCAACGCATCTGTGACTCCTCTGGTTTTGCGGGTGTCCATGGGCGGCGCTGATCGCTTACCATCTGTGTGCTGGTTTGCCTCCGAATCCATAAAAAAGACCATAAGGTGTAATATGACATCAGTTAGGAAAGTAATATAAATGATGGCACCTACTATACATAAAACAATAAGAATTATTTAGTATCCTAGTGTAGTGCTTCGAAAGCAAATTTATTTTTAGTCCATCTTTACAACAAATATTTCAGTTTGACTTACTTACATAAATTGATATGGGGCTCAATGTGCCGTAATATGCACCTCTGCCAACCCCTTGAGGGCTAAAGGCGTGATGATATAAAGAAAAAACTTCATTAGTTTCAACCAAAAGAAAGTTACCTATCAACAAAATCATAATCTCAAAACTTTTCTTAGTTCAAAACCATTTATAGAACGCTGGTTGGTCAGCTGTGGTCAATGGCTCGTTTACACTGGTTTTTTTTCAGTTGCAAGCAAGCAAGTTGCAAGAACTGGTTTTTTTTAAGGGGGAAAATCATCGAATGACTGCTCCCGCCTAGGTGAGGCGGGCCCTATTGGGCCCCATCCGTGGTGATCTGATGGCTCTTTGAAGCGAGCGAACGTGGCGCGCCGTACGCTTGGGTAAGAACTGGGGTTGGAAGCTCCCCATCATCTGTCCTACTCACCAGACCTTTCGCCTACAGACTACCACTTTTCCAGAATTTTAATGACTTCTTGGCTGGAAGAAAATTCAATACCCGAGAGACAGTACAAAATGCTTTGAATAATTTGTTGCTTCCCGTCACTGCGTTGGCAAAGATGCATTGATTGCATGAGTGATTACTTCGATTAATACAAATAAAAAATACAAGAAAAATTTTCGTTATTTTTTTTTCATTTAAAACGGTAATTTCATTGGTATGCACATTTGAATATGACACCTATTAATAAATAACCATATTTAATCTTCCTTAAATAGTAACCAGACAGTCAATAGTGGCACAGTTGTTTTGAAAGTTCAAATTAATATTGTATTTTGACTGCCAAATGAAAAAAATAATGAACAGGGGAGATGGGGGTATGCAATTTATGGTTAGATTAAATAATTAATTACTAATATATGCAACTGTGAACTATAATATGGAGCCGCGGATAAGCTAATGGGTTACCGTGAGTTCGGTTCAAAGCAGAAGTAGGGACGGGGTGGTTTATAGTCAGTAAACGTCCGACACTCTCTCGGGTTACCCTCTAAAAAATGGGCATCATATATCATAACTGGCAAACATTGAAAGTGATATTTAGTATCATCGTCATCATATCAGCGGCAATAAGTCCATTGTTGAAGATAGGCTTCCCTCAATAACTTCCAGTTCGACTGCTTACCATGCATCTATAGAATTAATGAGGGTTCTAAATAAAATTAATAAATAAAAACTAACTTTATAACAATACAAGTTCAGTTCAGAAATATATTTACCCTTATTATTTTTAACTCAAATATTCCCATCTTTGGGATATAAGTTAAATACCGATGTAGGTGATAGGTACTGTTAAAGTTTATCTGAACCGAAGTTGTTTTCCTAAATTTTTAGTTTTTTCAACAATAGAGTTTTTAATAATTTTTGTTAATTAATTTTATTTTAAGTTTTTAGTAAGAATTATTCTATTCAGATTGTTACTTTGAAATGTGTATACTATATAGTTACAAAGAAAACAAGGTACATGAGACGAATTTGTGTACAAAGATAATAAAAACTTTTAGAGATAATGTATCATTTTGAAATCCTCCCAATGACCTCTTTAATTTGATACCCATATTGCAATATTGGCAGTGTCTATTGTGTCTAAATTAGTTGAGTGGTTAAGAAGAAACAAGGCCATGAAGAATATTTATTACACTCATACTCAAATACATATAACTGGGTAAAAAACTAATTATTATAAGTTCTAATTTCGAAAGTTAGTTTTTGGAGAAAATTTCAGTTTTTATTGAAAAATGGTTTCATTTTTTAAGCATTGTATCATCATATTAAAATACCCACATCTCCTCATCATGTAACGAACGCCGAAGAAAAAAATTTGTATAAAAGGAGTAAATTCAACACTTAAATTTATACTTCGTCGCATTCAAAACAACTGCAGTCAACAGCACAGGTAAGTAACAAATGGCTATTTTTTCTTTTCTTAAAAAACAAAGTCTATCTGTGTGTCTGTTCGCGATTAACTCGAAAGTAGTGATCCGATTTTCAGACGGTTTTCAATAATAGAGTGATTTTTGAGTAAGATAAAACTACATTTTAAAATACTACTTAACTATATCAAAAACAGTTTTTTTGTCGTATAATGATATTACAATGATAAAATTTTGTCTCAAATTCTTTTTGCCATAATTTTGTGGCAGACAGCTTGGAAATTGTAGGTTTATAAGATTCAGGTTAATCAGGGACAATGAGAACTTTTAAAAGAACATATTAGTAAAATTTTATCTTGTATTTTAATAATATTTTCAGGTGACTTCGCAATGGCAGACGCGGCTGCAGCCATATCAACAATCCAGTCAATGCAGATTGCACTGCAATTATTACAGAGTATTACACCTACTGCCTGGCGATTCCCACCTCAGTGCTCGTTGCAAGGTCATTTTTCTTTGTATACCAAACTATTAATAGTTTAATACAACATTATTAAAACCGTGGGAACATATTTGAAACTGAAAGTAGATTCATAATAATGTTTTGATTAAAACAATCATTCTTTACAAAGCTGCCTCTTTGGCCAAGTGGTCGCAAGTGCGACTGCCGGGCAAGGGATCTCGGGTTCGATTCCCGGCACGGGCAAGCTATTACTGGGTTTAAAAAAAAATCTCAGTAGTAGCACGGAGTCTGGAATTGTGCCTGGTATATGGCAATAGGCTCACCCCCTATTACATAGGACTCATAAGGTGTTACATTGTACAGTGGCATTATGTGCACCTCTGCCTACCCCTTCGGGGATTATGCCGATTCGGAGTCGCGGAGAACCTAACGGGTAACCGGGGCTCCGGCTCGACGTGCAGGAGAAGGAACGGGGTGGTTTTTAGTCAGTAAGAGTCTGACACTCCCTTCCGCCTCACCCAGGCGGGAGCAGTCATTCGATGATTTTCCCCCCTTAAAAAAAATAAATAAAAACCCCCCTTAAAAAAAAGATAAAAGACGTGATGTTATGTTATGTATGTTATAATATGTTTTGACAAAGCTCCATAGATTTCTTTAGAACGACAAATAATTTTGTATTTTGTTTCGCAGATGGCGATTCTTTTGATTTCATCGTAGTGGGTGGTGGGTCAGCAGGTTCAGTTGTAGCCAGTAGACTTTCAGAAAATAAAAATGTTAATGTACTGCTTATTGAAGCAGGAGGATACCCACCACTTGAGTCTGAGGTAAGATACTTCATGAAAGTAAATTTAAGCATAATGTTGTTGTTAAATAAAACTTTAATAGTTAAACTTAAACTTCCCTAATATTTCCAGTACCCCGCCTGGTTTGGTTTGCTGTCACGTTCAGTTTACGATTACAACATAACATCAAAAAACGATGGGAAAACAGCTCAACATTTTCAAAATAAAGTCTTCCCCTTTAACCAGGGTAAGATGCTTGGGGGCAGCGGCTCCATTCATCATATGATGCATACTAAGGGTGACCCTCATGATTACGATGAGTGGGCATTGTCGCTTTCCGACGCCTGGACCTTTGAATATTTTCAGGAATATTTAAAGAAAATGGAAACTTTAATAGATACACATCTCCTTGAACCAGAGGATATACCATATCATGGTACAGATGGACCTGTGAAAGTCGCTAAAGATACACGCAAAGCTAATGAGAAATATTTAAAGGCATTTGAAGAACTTGGCCACAGGATTGTGTCAGATATAAACGCGGTAAATCCAGTAATTGGGTACGCTGAAAATTTCTTTGAGATTGCTGATGGAATACGACAAAGCACGGCATTAGGCTACTTAGGTCGGGCCAAAAATCGTCCTAACTTATGCCTTGCATTGTTCACTTCTGCAACAAATATCCTTATAGAACAGCAGAAAGCTGTAGGTGTACAAGTGGCCACAGACAGTGGTGAGACATACAAAATTTATGCAGATAAAGAAGTAATTGTATCAGCTGGTGCCATCAACAGCCCTAAACTACTCATGTTGTCTGGAATCGGACCAAAAGAACACCTTGAATCATTCGATATTGATGTTATTGCTGACTTACCCGTTGGGGAAAATATGCTGGACCAAACTTGCGCTCCAGTATTATTTAAAACAGACAAGTGTGACACCACTACGCCGGCTGCTAATCCACATGAATTCCCAACACCAACCTTCAATGGTTACGTGTCATTGGACAGTGAAAACCCATACGCAGATTATATTTCAATCAACCTCGAGTTTCAATGTAGTTCAACCGATCTCTTACAATTGAGTACCAATTTATTCGGGTACTCTTACGACTTATCTCAAACCTTCTATGATGCTAGTAAAGACAGAAAGATTCTTTTTAGCGTAATTGGCATATTGAAGCAAAAATCTCATGGCCAAGTCCTTCTGGCAAGTAAAGATCCCTCGGTGAACCCTCGCGTATACACAGGAATGTTCAGCAACGAAGATGATCTAGATTTATTAGCCAGAGCATTCATGGATTTTGTTAAAGTTCTGGATACCGATTACTTTAGGAGTGTTAACGCTAGTATTGTAGATATAGGTTTATGTAAAGAAGAAAAAACTGAGTATGATTACTGGAAGTGCTATGCGCTGGCAACTTCCTCACCTATGTGGCACTTCGGAAGCACTTGTGCAATGGGCAAAGTACTGGACCCTCAAATGAAGGTTTTGGGAGTGGATTCATTACGTGTGGTGGACGCATCTTCCATGCCTAGTCTAATTCGTGGCAAGATACACACTGCAGTCGTAGCTGTAGCTGAGCGTGGAGTTGACTTTATCCGCAACTACTGGCACCTTTAACTGTGTTTATTACAATTTCTGTTGTTGTCTTGATTTCAGCCTCTTGTATGGTTTTCTGTTGTTCTTTTTAAATGTAATTTTGTGCAGATTAATTTGATAATAAAATTATAATTACTTATTGCATTCTCTGATTTTTCTTTTTATTTAACGAGACTTTTCAGATACTTATGCAGGCATTTATGTAATTTTAATTGCACACACAGCAGTGTTATACTAAAAGAAGCTAATAGTGTTCGCACTTAGGTATTGTCATATACTGAACACAATAAAAATGTTGTGGTGGCCAGGAGAATTAAACACCCGCTTCTCATGCATGAGGGCACAGGTTTAAAACCTACTAACGACGACAACCAACCGTTCTTTCTAATGATATTTAGACACTACTGACAAATGAAACCTGGACTTATAATTTCTAAAAATAAGTTTGAAATCGCCTACCCGCATTGAGCAAACGTGGTGATTAATGGCCACTTATAACGTGTTGTTGTGAGATGACGTATGAATTACTTACGATTTTAGAACACTGAAAATCCTAATATTGAGCTAACACGCTTACGATAGTCGCCTAACATGACCGCTTTAAAAATACGAATGTAATAATTACGGAATGTTATAAAAAATAATAAATGTAATTAAAATAAAACAGATTCTTATTTATTCAGCTGTGCTTAATAATAAGTATGAAAAACATATTTTTTTGATTGAATATCAATATTAGCTAATTTTCAAGTCTGTTATTGAGAAACATCTAGACTAAAAATTGTTTAATATTAGTATTATTCCACTTAAATACTATATGTTTCAGAAAATTAACATTTTTTGTATACATAATGATTCTTCTATATTAAGAGACTATATGCACAGTTGGAACTTGCACTATTGGGGAGAATGGGCAAATTTAGGAAATACGCAAATATTATGGGCCTTACTCGGACTTATTTTTTTGAGACCTGCTATGTATATAGTGTGAAAATATAGTGGTAGGTTAAGGCCTGCTGGGTGCGGTGATTCCGTAAGGGCGTCCCGGACTACGACTACGAACATCGCGGTGGTTTTAGCCGGTAAGAGGCACACCTCCCCCGGCCTCCCTACGATGTAAAAAGTCCGTAAGGATTTCCATCACGTTATATAAAAAACACACACACACACACATATCATAGGGGATGAGACCAAATAAAATATCAAAAGAAAAAAACATTTATCTATATCAGGCAAATGCGAATCCGGCAATGTTGAGCAGGCGCAGTGCACCTTCATGGTGAATGGATATGGATACCCTGATAAAAATCATGGGAAGTTACTGATTAACTACTTAAGCTACTTGGGCAATTGGGTCTCACTCACACGACAAAACACAACGCAAGCTGTTTAGCCGTTGTTTCACGTCGGTTTTCTATGAGGCCGTAGTATCATTCACCGAGCCGGCCAACTATTTGTACCAAAGCATGGCTCCCCCCCCCCCCTCCGGTTAAAGACACCCGCTTCTCATGCATGAGGGTGCGGGTTCGAAACCTACCAACGGCCACCACGTACATATAACTCGGAAAAAGTACCAATGTCACTTTTTCCGAGTTATATGTACTTTCTAAGATTATCTAGACACCACTGACAAACGGTGAAGGAAAACATCGTGAGGAAACCTGGGCTTATAATTTCTAATTATAAGTTTGTAATCGCCAACCCGCATTGAGCAAGCGTGGTGATTAATGCTCAAACCTTCTCCGTGTGAGAAGAGGCTTTACTCAGTAGTGGGCATTTATAGGTTGTTGATGTGATGGCTCCCCCACACTTCAAATCAATTGGGGAGACCTATTTTCTTTTGTGTGATTGATATGATGACTGGTTTATATTTTTTGTACAAATTTACCACTTCTCCTCTTCATGTTATTGAAATTAAAGATAAAATTTGTATAAAAGGGAATCTGAGCTGAACATAAATCATCTTATCTGCAGATTCAACACCAGAACTACAGGACTTGGGTAAGAAAAAAAAAATAATTTTCTTATATTTTTAACTTCTTGTATTTTTTATGAATACACAAAATAACTATTTGACTTGTTAACTGAATGAAATTTATAATACATTATAAATATATCCTGGGTATTGTGCCCGGTATATGGCAATAGGCTCACCCCTATTACATGGGACGCATAAAATAAATAGTAAAAAGTGGGTGTTACATTGTACAGTGGCATTAAGTGTCATAATGTGCACCTCTGCCTACGTTCTTATGTTATGTTATTATGTATTTATTAATACATATTTTTCCTGGGTTTGTGGGAATAGACAGATTAATTATAGTTATCGTTAACTATTATTGTAGTGTGCACTTCATAAATATTAATTAGACAACAAGTAATTGTGTGACTTATTATACAATTAGGACGGATACAGACTCTTAGTCCATGCCTAAGGTCTTGGATCAATGGTGGCCGTGGAGAACTAAAATTTAATATTAAAAAAACTATACAATGTCTAGGTGACAAGACTCCACAATGGCAGACGCGGCTGCAGCCATATCCACGATCCAGTCCATGCAGATTGCACTGCAGTTGTTGCAGACAATTACACCAACTGCTTGGCAATATCCACCTCAGTGCTCCGTACAAGGTAATACATCATCACTGATGGTCAGATTAATTCTTTGGTTTATTTAATTGACAGTCCTTCAAACCTGTAGACGTCATTTCAGTCTTCAGTTGCTGAGTTTCGTTTTTAGGTGAAAAGCGTGCATATTATAGCAGACCATTTTATGTAGAGGAAACACTATCATGGTCCATCAGCGGCTTTCACCAACTGTTGATGATGACAATGAAGATCTTCTTGTTTAGGAATATAAGGAAAATATTGAAAAAAATATATTATTCCAACAGATGGAGACTCTTTTGACTTTATCGTCGTGGGTGGTGGATCGTCAGGATCAGTTGTAGCCAGCAGACTCACAGAAAACGAAGATGTTAACGTACTACTAATTGAAGCAGGAGGATATCCACCAATTGAGTCTGAGGTAAGAATGCTATGTAAATAATAAGTTTGTAGATATTAATCATATACAGATGGATATCAAAGAAAAAGTGTGAGACGGAATATCTTCAATATTATTTAAATTGTTCTAGTATCCAGCATGGTTTACGCTACTGGCGCGGTCAGTATACGACTACAACATAACGTCGACAGATGATGGTAAGACAGCACAAAATCTTCAAGGAAAGGTTGTCACCCTCAATCAGGGTAAAATGCTCGGAGGCAGCAGCTCACTCCACCACATGATGCACACCAACGGCGACCCTGAAGACTACAACGAGTGGGCAAGAATGCTTAATGACGACAAATGGTCTTTCAAATACGCCCAAGAGTATTTAAAGAAAATGGAAACGCTCATAGATCAAGATCTTCTACCACCAGAGGATATAGCTTGTCACGGCACAGATGGACCTCTAGAAGTAGCTAAAGACACACGCACGACCAATGAAAAATACTTAAAGGCATTTGAAGAACTTGGGCACAAGATTGTTTCTGATATAAACGCAGCCACTCCAGCTGTCGGGTACACTGAGAACCTGTTTGAAATCGCTAACGGATTCCGTCAAAGTAGTGCTTTAGGCTACTTGGGCCGTGCTAGAAACCGTCCCAACCTATGCCTGGCTTTATCCAGTTCCGTCACAAAGATCCTCATTGAAGACCAAAAGGCTGTAGGAGTCCAAGTGAGTACAGCCAATGGAAAGACATACAAAGTATATGCGGATAACGAAGTAATTGTATCAGCTGGTGCCATCAACAGCCCTAAACTACTTATGTTATCTGGAATCGGACCAAAAAAGCATCTCGAATCATTTGGCATAGACGTTGTTGCTGACTTACCAGTCGGACAAAACTTGCAAGATCATGCCTGCGCTGCAATAGTAGTCAAAACGGATAAATGTGATGCTACCACGCCGGCTGCTAATCCACACCAATTCCCAGCACCATCTTTCAATGGCTACGTCTCACTAGATAATTCAACCACAACCGCTGATTACGATACAATAAACTTAGAGTTCCAATGCGGTTCAAGCGACATTTTACAGTTGAGTGTCAACATGTTTAGCTACTCCTACGATGTCTCTCAGACTATCTTTGAAGCTACAAAAGATAGGAAGGTGATATTTACTTTACTAGGTTTGGTGATGCCCAAATCTCGTGGTCAGGTACTCTTGGCGAGCACGGACCCTGCAGTGAATCCTCAAGTTTACACAGGCATGTTTAGCAATGAAGATGATATCGATTTGATTGCCAGAGCATTTATGGACCATGTGAAAGTTCTGGACACTACATACTTCAAGAGTGTTAATGCTAGTTTGGTTGATATGGGGGTGTGCAAGGATGCAAAAACTGAGTATGAATTCTGGAGGTGTTACGCTGTAGCCATGTCTGCAACTATGTGGCACTACGGTGGCACTTGTGCAATGGGAAAGGTACTGGACAGTGACTTGAATGTTTTAGGAGTAGATTCATTACGTGTGGTTGATGCTTCTGCCATGCCGACTCTGATTCGAGGCAAGTTATATGCGGGAGTCATGATGTTAGCCGAGTATGGAGCTGATATCATCCGTAAGGACTGGGGTATTTAGATTTTGTGAAAGAAGATAATGAGATGCCTTTGTAAGATATTTTTTGTAATCAATTTGTTAGTTAGTACATAAATATTAGCCTTGTTTGTTGAACGTACGGTAGATCAATACTATAAAATATTTTTGTTATGTTTTAAAGATATAATGTTAATGAATTAATTTATCTATGATGAATTGAATGTATCTGTTATTTCTTTAATAAATATCATCTAATAGCATGTTTGGTTTTCTTAATAAACACAAATTGGATATAATCTCAGTACTAAATAACTCTCAACAACAGCAAATACAAAAAGTGAATAACAATACATATGGCCACTCTCTGCATTCCTTTTTTATACCATATAGCATAGTTTGACGTTTGCCCACCATCTCGCCTGGTAGTAAGCGATAATGTGGCCGAAGATGGAGCACGCCAACCTATGAGCAATCTATTCACTCGGGACTTGAAGACACCCAAGTTATATTTGTCGGGAAACACAGATTTATTCCTTAGCGGTTCACACAAAGAAGCTTGACGGGAAATGCTCTGTGCGAATGGGTGCAATGTCCACCATATAAGGGCGGTGGTCTGTCGTTCTTTTGGAAGTACCATGGTGAAGCGGAGTAGGGAGAATAGGCTCCAATTCCCACGCACACTCACCGAAATGTATCCGATAGAAGACGGAAAGGCTTGCGACTTTACGCCTGTGTTCGAGGTATTGAAACCGAACTTCCACAAGCGAATCATCAATGATACCCTTAACCCGTCAACTTCATAAATTCTGACTAATTCCCATTATCCTGTGCCTGACTGGGACCTTAGACTCCTCGGCTAATTTTAAACATAACAACACACTTTTCAACTTTAAAATTTCATTGCTATTTTTTTCATTTTAACCAAGTACAACTTCCTTACTCAGACAAATTAACAAATCGGCAACATTTTGCTCAACGCAAACCGACTTGACGACTGCGACAAGGCAGTGAATGGGCATTCTGACAGCCACTAATCCATTAGACAGAACTCTATATATAAATGGGACATCTTAATCCCTTAGAGGTAGAAACCCAATTTAATCTGAGCCAGCAAGTGTGTCTCCAAGTCGACTAAAGGAAACGCTTTCGTAGTCTCAAAACTAAATTTACATTCGAGTTTAGTGTAAACGTTTTGTATTTGTGTTAGTGTGTGTATTAATTATATTAGGTTTGCGGTTTTGCTAGCTGGTATACATACATACATATATACGCATCATATCAACAGCTTATAATGCCCACTGCTGAGCAAAGCCTCTTCTGACACGGAGGTTTGGGCATTAATCACCACGCTTGCTCAATGTGGGTTGGCGATTTCAAACTTATAATAATTAGAAATTATAAGCCCAGGTTTCCGATGTCGATACGGAGCCGCGGAAGACTTAACGGGTTGCCGGGGCTCCGGCTCGAAGTGCAGGAGTAGGAACGGGGTGGTTTTTAGTCAGTAAGAGTCTGACACTCCCTCCCGGTTGAGGCGGGAGGGAGTGTCAGATTCTTACTGAGAAGTCATTCGATGATTTACCCCGTCAAAAAAAAAGTTTCCTCACGATGTTTTCCTTCACCGCTTGTCAGTGGTGTCTAAATAATCTTAGAAAGTATATATAACTCGGAAAAAGTCACATTGGTACTTGCCGTTGGTAGGTTTCGAACACGCATCCTCATGCATGAGAAGCGGGTGTCTTAAGCCCCTAGGCCACCACGCGACACATACATACATACATAACCTCACGCCTGTCTCCCATGGGAGCAGACGGAGACTAGAAAAGAGTATGTAAGCATCCTAGTAATTGGTGTTACATATTCTTAGCTAGCTAGTATATTGTGTAAAATATAACTAGGGTGTCTTCAGGTCCCGAGTCAATAGGTTGCTTATAATAGGTACGGTGCTCCTTTCGGTTGGCCACATCATCGCTTACCGCCGAGATGGTGCCCAAACGCCATCCTCATTGCAATAAAAAAGAAATAGCGTGTAGTTCGTATAATAGTCAAAAAAGTGATGAATTCCATGTCTGAATTGGCGCTTTAGAATAGTTATTAAACAACTTCTGAAAATACGTCAAAGTCAAAGTCAAAATCAAAATCATTTATTTCAATTAAATCAAAAAGGCACTTGTAAACGTGAACAAAAAATTTAAAGTGAATCTTTTTATTTACTAAAGGTGAATTAATTTACTAAAACCTTTCCCCAAGAGTAACAAACAGTTTTCTGAAAACCATATCAAAACCGCTTCAGTCAATAGCGAGATAATTGCGCACAACCATACATACATGCTGGTAAAAAAAAAAGAGTAACGAATGGAGTTTCTTCCTCGTTCTTCTCCATTCCAATCTACATTTTGGAATTAGCACCTAGCTTCAATGACGGACTGACTGACAGACTATTATTTATTTTGTATTTGTTGACGTTTCAAAAGTACCATATTATGGTTTAATTGACAAAAATGCTTTGACTTTGACTTTGACTTTGAAACAAAGAACCTCGTTCTTTTTTAAAATTACATAATTATAATGAAAAGTCTAAGCGCCTACCGATTTCTTCATACCGCGATTATATTTGCGAACAAATATATTGTCACGTTAATATCTTACAGTATCAGTATTTCTACTAATTGCACTACATTTTGAACAAGGCGTTTATAACTTATATTCTTGACTCAATTACACAAAATTCAATCATATTTTGTCTATTTTAGAGTTGATATTTCAGTGGTAATTAGCAAAGTAGTTTTGTATCAATGTTGGAAGTAATCTAAAGTACACTTTATTGTAATGACGTTATAGCTTATTATTATTTACTTGACTAAAGAGGTAATTAATATTTGTATACCTGACCTAATAAAATATGAAGATCTGAAGGATCTCCAAAAATAACGTTTTGCATACGTACATACATAACCTCACGCCCGTCTCCCATGGGGGTAGGCAGAGACTATGGAACGCCAATTGCTACGAATTTTTTTACAAAAAGTTGCCCCACATTTTCACCTGTGTCATGTGTGCGATTACAAATATACAAGTTTACATACACATGACACTCAGACCCGGAACAACAATCTGTCGATCACACAAAAAGATATTCCGTGCGGGAATCGACCCCGCGACACGTTACGCGGCAGCCAGTTGCCCAGCCACCGCACCAACCGTGTAGTCTGATTCTTACATATTATTATCTCTTTTGCTTTATTAAGAGTCATCGGTCTTTTCATTGCTTCTTTAAATAACGGTATATTCAAGTAAATATACCGAGAAAAGCTCTACTACTTTCGAGGCACAGAGGGACTCTTCGTCATGAGCACCGTGCGCGGTCGCGATGACGTCACGGTGGCTACTGCTGAATCTCTATACAGCAACGTGACGTGTACGACGTGACGTGACGTGATGTGCTTGACGCTCTTCTCGGCGCTCTGATTGGCCGGCCGGTGAACCGACCAATCAGAGCGGCGAACGAGCTCGATACTATTGCGTTACGAATGTGATAGTTATTCGTGATTGGCACTCACAAAATATGTCGAGGTAGCTTGAAGATTTAAGACGCCCATCTCTCATGCACGAGAGTGCGGGTTCGAAACTTACAAACAGCTAGTACCAATGTGACTTTTTCCGAGTTATATGTACTTTCCAAGATTATCTGGACACCACTGACAAAACAAACGGTGAAGGAAAACATCGTGAGGAAACCTGGGCTTATAATTTCTAATTATAAGTTTGGAATCGGCAACCCGCATTGAGCAAGCGTGGTGATTAATGCTTAAACTTTGAGAAGAGGCTTTGCTCCGCAGTGGGCATATATAGGCTGATGATGATGACTCATGTATTTGAAAAACTAAATAATATTCTACAGTAATTTACGTGATAAAACCGTATTGTCCAATCAGCAGGAATTTGATACAATTAACAAATCAACGCTGATCCAAGACAACCGCAAACCACTCTTGTGTCACGTGCTGACACACACAGAGTTGTTATGTTGACAGAATGACTTTACCTTTAGTCTTTCAGTAACTGTAACTTTAACACTTGCGTAAACAAGAGGAGAATCAAACATATATTTATGGTGTTTTTTTGTTCTATAAAAAGATACTTAACATTTGTCATACTAAAGTCTATTTTTACGAATTTTCTACTTAATCCCACACTTAGAGCTTTTTTTTAAAAAAAAAGGACAAGCCCGGGAAGAATGTTAGAATAATATCACTGTATATATATATATATGTATATCTTTTTGTTGTTATTCTATTATTATTATTATATGTATAATATTATAATAGTCACGGGCAAGTGCTGAAAATCAGCGCCGCGACTCGAGCACACTCGCATTTAAACTGAGCTCTGGCCTTTTTGCGCCGTCTTTATTTGTGACGGTGTGTAAATAAACGATTTTTCTTTCTTTCTTTCTTTCAACACCCACTACTACGAACCTCACGCACTTTATCACTCTCTCTGCTTCACTTAAAGTGGAACTAGTTTTTTACGGAATAGGAGGCAAACGAAGAATTGGATCACCTGATGGTAAGCGACTAACACCGCCGATGGACATCCTGAACACCAGAGGAGACTAAGTTATAGGACGACTTTCCTCCTTTAAAAAAATTTAACCCGTTGAAAATCATCCCCTAAATTTGTTCATACAAAAGTAGTCTCTAAACATTGGAAATAAGGTCTATAATGTAGTTAGTGGAGAGCGGTCATCGGTGGCCGCTTGGGGATATACGGGATTCTCACATACATTATCTAGTTTTATAAGCGCAGCAGTTAAGAAAGAATACTCTTTGTCAAAACAAAAGAAATGAAACAGACTGTATATAGAGAAGGATAAATATTCATACATTATACATAACATAATAATATAATAAAATGTAATGTAAATATAACGGTACAATATGGAATATATATACGTAGTAAAATAACAGTTATATTCGCCAGTTGGAATATTAAATACTTACTTGAAACATCATCTATTATAAGCCACTAGACATTCACTTCTG